TGTTTTGTTGAATATCTGGATGAGCTTGGAATGCATCGTTCTTTATAAGGATTTTTGTAAAATTTTAGTGTCCAATATAAGTAAATAAAGAAGGGAGATTTTCATCCTCCTTTTTAGTATTAATCCACAAGAAGAGAAGGACGAATGTGACACACCAATGTATTTTATGTATAATAAAATGGAGAATTGTGGTATACTGTCACATGTGGTGGTATAAAGGCATCCTATATTAAGGATCTGTGGTATTATGATTAAGCCGCGGATTAGTTTCCGTTTCAGTTGGGATTTTTTCTTTTCAAAGCTTAAACAGGAACAAAAAGGAGGTGTTCCCTTATTATGTCATTTGATATCAGTATTAAGGAACAAAAATAGTTTTTATTCAGTGAACTTATATTCTAAGCATGGCGTAGGAGTTTATTTGTGAAGAACGAATGCTATCAACCATCTTATCACGCTTTACTAACCCGCCCTTTGTGTGCACACCAGAAGCTATAGGCTTGAATGTATAAAGTAATATTGATGCATTCGCAGAACATATGGACACAACTAATGTTGCTATGCTTACTAGTTTTTCCATGTAATGTTGTCTTCTTTAATGCCTTACCACACGACATGGTATCAATTTTACAGTTTTTTTTTAACTTTCAACTACTAGTATTCCATTTTCATCAAACCTAGGAAATTACCACTGACAAGATTCATGGATAAATAAATAAGAAAAGGTCATGTAACTGCTTAAATGAAACCCATCTGTTTCTTGCAATTCATTAGGCTTCAATGAAAACAACATTTATAATGAAATCTATTACTTGCTGGAGCATAATGTGTTATAAAGGAATGAAGTAATATTAGATAAATGTCATTTCAAATTGAAATCCTCAAACAAGTTAACATTTCTACTAATTTTGTAATTAGCTAACGTATTAAATTGCATTGCAATGGTATTTATTCTGAAGTAGCAATCACTAAATATAGGACTCCAATGGTCTACTTTTTTTTACACATTCTGTTTAGTATGTAAAATAACCAGGTGATCAGAACTTAAGATGGATACTCTCTATGTCGTAGTAGGCCGTGTTACAACCATAAATAGTAATACAAATGATTGTTTAGTTGATAAAAATGTAAAAACACGAAAGTATTTAAGTATCGTTACATTTCCATATACTATTGAATTAAGCAGTATAAAAAAAAAAAGATAGCCAGAATTTATTTAAAATAATGTTGAGTTACTTTATTACAAATATTTCAATTGTATCTTTTGTTTTTGTTGTTTTTTGGTAGTGCCAACATATGGAGTATATCTCCGTAAAGAATTTATTCGAGGGCTTGCGTTTCCTATCATAATTTCCCAGACAGAGAGTAGCTACTTTCAAGGTAGCTAATGCATCAATGGTTCCAAAGATAAAGTTAAAGTCAAGTCATCCGTTCAAAAGTTTTTCGGGCGCCAACAAGAGTTAGGTATCAGTAATGGAATATCTGTTTCACAAATGACCACGGGTATATTCCTTTTTATCGTAACCACAATCTCTTCCACTTCCTTGATTGTGATATCAACGAATTATACTTGCCATGAACAACATGAGGGATGGCACTAGTATATAAGTAACTAGTCTTTCCAAGCATATGAGTTCGCAACCCCTTTTTTGTGTGTTCGTGTTGCTTAAATCTTTATTTTTCTAATTAGTGTTTTAGACAATGTTGTCCGTTCATCTTTCATGTCATGATATTGTCTATTTATCTTCGACTTATAGTATTTGATTGTCCCCATAATACCTTCTCTCTCTTTTTGAATAAGAAGTTGGAGAAAAAATCTGATATACTAAAAGATATGTAACTTCGACAATAGTTATTGTATAAGTATACAGTTTTTAAAGTTTTATATAATTGATGAAAAAAAACGTCTCAATTTGACGTTGACTGAAAGGCCATACAATTTCAAACAAACTTGATCAAATCAATCTGTGCAGTTGAAAATCAATATCTGTGAGTGGCATCGGGTGTAGAGGAGGAAGTTTTGACAAACCACATGTTTATGATTTACTACTTAACTACATGTAGATCTTGTCGAGACCACCACAGCTTACAATGTGATAGGAGCACGTCCTGCTAAATTTGAATGTTATAAACTGACCTAGTTGTTTATTTTTTGGTTGTAGCAATAACTCTTTTTTTTCATTTGTAGGGTAATATATCATGATCTTACAATTATTTAACTGGCCTACTGATTTTCTGAACAATCCATCATCTTTTGAAATAGCTCGCATAATATTTTTGTTTATCGTTTTCGATCGGGATTTGGTATTGGGTGAGAAATCAAATATCTCGTCTTGATATTTTGTGTTCCAATTTTTTTAAAAAACATTTGCTTGCAATATGAAATAAATTTTGGCATGTTTATTTAGTTTTAGTTCAATATTTATCTAACAAATACTGTCAATCTTGTAACACTACCTATGTGTTTAATGGCATCATTTCAATTGTGACACTGTAATAGTTGTGTATCTACTTATAGAAATTCAACTCAACAGTGGTGTCGAGCAATTTATGATAACAAACAAATATCATTGTCAGTGCTTTTCTGTACCAAGAAGAACTTGTAAACTTACAAGTAATCGAAAAAGAAGTATAATTTGGTAAATAAAATTGTTAACTAAAGTTTCTATCTTGTTAAAACTAAAATGCTGATTTTATTAATTTGATTACAATAAATTGTAAATGAATATCAATGAACTCAAAATCATATCTAAAAATCCTTTTAAGCTGTCTAATATTTCAAAAATCTTATCAAACGTTACATCTTAGAAGATGAGTTAGATGCGCGATTAATAAGAAAAAAATGTAATGGAAACTTTTCCATTAGAAATTTAAATTTTCTTAGGATCCTTCATTTCCAAACTGAGAAACCATCTGTTATTTTTTATTCTACTGGACTTCCCAAGAACATCTATAGATTTGGTTAACATTGTTATGTCTCAGTAGTAGTGAAATAACCAAATGAATGTTCTGCAATGGATATAGTTTGACATAGAACTGTGTGTATTTAATCCCTTTTTGTCACATATTTTATGAGTATTCCATGAATTATTAGTTTACCATATTCTATGACGCATATTATATGACTTCTCAATGAACGACTAGTTTACCATATTCTATGACGCATATTATATGACTTCTCAGTGAACCACTAGTTTACCATATTCTATGACGCATATTATATGACTTCTCAATGAACCACTAGTTTACCATATTCTATGACACATATTATATGACTTATCAGTGAACCACTAGTTTACCATATTCTATGACGCATATTATATGACTTCTCAATGAACCACTAGTTTACCATATTCTATAACGCATATTATATGACTTCTCAATGAACCACTAGTTTACCACATTCTATGACGCATACCATATGACTTCTCAGTGAACCACTAGTTTACCACATTCTATGAGAGAGGTTAAATGAGTTATCCATGAATAACCAATTTTATTTAAAATTACACATAGCTGAGAGAGTGATAGAGCAGATTGTTACCCCGAGAAAACATTGTCAACTGAGGCGAAGCCAAGGTTGACAATGTCTTTTCGAGGGGTAACAATCTGATCTATCACCCTCTCAGATATATGTTATTTAATTTATTATACTGAATGTTCTGTTATTACTGTTTATTAAATTTCAGATTCAAAGTAATAAACTATGTCGTCTTGTACATAACAATCATCCGTATTTATTAAAGCGCACACTTGAGCAAGCGTCTCCGTGAAGGGTTATAGAGTATTTGCCATGGGATAGAGTAAATTGTCTCCCTCGTATTAACCAATCAAAATCTGGCATTTAGACATGAAGTTTAATAAAAATATTTGGTGAATGAACCATAATTTTCTGACACAATCTTTAACGCATGTTACATGAGCACCTCATGAACCACTATTTTACCATACTAGTATTCTTTAACGCATGATACATGAGTATTCCGTGAATGATTAGTTTACTGCGTTCTTTGAACGCATGTTACATAAGTAACTCATGAACCACTAGTTAACCATATTCTTTAACGCATGATACATGATGAGTATTATGTGAATGATTAGTTTACCACGTTCTTTGACGTATGTTACATGAGTACTCCTACCACATTCTTTGACAAAAATTACACGAGTGCCAATGAATCTCTAGCTTATCATATTGTTTAAGAAAATTTACATAGTCCAATGAATCACTAGTTCAATACATTACATGAGAAATCAGTGAAAAACTGGTGCCAGCATTTGTTGACGTACATTTCTTAAAGACATTGATCTATTACATATTTACCTCACGATGTTTTTTTTCAATTTGAAAATATTTTTTGGGTTTATTGCTGTTTCATTGACGTTTTGCTTACATCTCGTTTACATCTTTTGGCGTGGCTAGGTATTTATACATCCCGCCATTGTGTTCTTGTGCTATGGTCATTTTTGTATTCTTGTCTTTCAATTTTTGCTTATGTACTTTGTCTTTAAGAGTCACTGACTCTCAGTGTCAATATGCCATTTTGTTTTTCTTTATTGAAATAGTTTTTTGTTTTATAGTGATTAAGATTATAACACAATATACCCCAATTTTTGACATTTTCACCTATTATGTCTGTTTGTTTTGCTCACACATTGTTGTCAATACAATGGAATTCTATAGGACTGTCATACGAGTGAGAGATTTAACTAGCTATAAAACCAGTTTTAATCCACCATTTTCCACATAAGGAAATGCCTGTTCCAAGTCAGAAATATGACAGTTGTTTTCCATTCGTTTGATGTGTTTGAGGGTTTGATTTTGCCATTTGATAAAGGACTTTCCGTTTTGAATTTTCGTTGGAGTTCGGTATTTTTGTAATTTTACTTTTCAATAAATTAACATACAGTCTGGTTTCTGGTCTCTTTCAAATATAACTAAAGGAGATATATCATCTATCATTATTTTGAGGTTATCTTGTGTTCAATATTTTTACACTTACCACATTCCTCCACACTTTCGTCACGCCCTGTACTACATTCATTTACACCATTACATATTTTGTCTTTAGATATACACTCAGTTTGTTTATCGTCACAATGAAACACGTCATTCCCTTCACATTTGACAAAGTCAGCTACTACTAGTTCTTCGTTCAGGTATTGACTTAAAACTGAAATAAATGTATTCATAGTAAGACAAGAATGCAAAAAACAATTATTTTTTCATAGACAATGGTATTTAGTATTGATTATTGGCAAAGAACAATATTGAAATTTTAGAGCTTGATATTTTTTACAGACATCTATCAATTGATGAAGACAAGTGTTTTCCCTTCAATGTTTTTTGGTTATTTTTGTCGGTCACATACTGTTTCATTTACGTATACTTCACATCAACCTTTGATCACATCTCTAGACGTTTTTTCTTGTTTTACTATGTTTTTGTAGCATTCGCGTTTATCCCCAATTTTATCTTTTTCATTCATAAGAAAAATATAAAATGAAAGCATTTGCCAAACCATACAATGAGATATAAAACAAATTAGCACTGTTATTCTCTGAATATAGATTTGATTTATATAATATACATAGACAATCCGATTACATGAAAAACAAGGCAATTTTCAATGAATCAAAATAACGATATCTATTATATAATTGTTGTTCATCTTGAGAGTTGCTGGGAGTTTTTAAGCAAAGAGATAAAGATTATTCACCTTTATATGTTTGTTTATATTTGTACATTTTTCTATTGTAGAAAACATCAGTATTGTGTATCTGTCATACAGTGTTGCTTAGTTCCACTTGGTTTCTAAGAAACTACGACAGGACGATAAAATAACACGAAGGGAATAACAATTTACCGTACACTTCAACAATATAGGCAATATTAGACCCTTGGTTTTCCTGTTTGAATTGTTTTACATTAGTCATTTTGGGGCCCTTTATAGCTTGCTGTTCGGTGTGAGCCAAGGCTCTGTGTTGAAGGCCGTACTTTGACCTGTAATAGTTAACTGTTTATACATTGTGACTTGGATGGAGAGTTGTCTCATTGGCACTCATACCACATCTTCTTATTTATAATAAAAGGATATGGCAAGGATATCTTAGGCATACGTCAATAAGATAGGCAATAAAAGGATATGGCAAGGATATGTTGGATATACGTCAATAAGATAGGCAATAAAAGGATTTGACAAGGATATATTGGGAATACGTCAATAAGATAGGCAATAAAAGGATATGGCAAGGATATTTTGGGTATACGTCAATAAGATAGGCAATAAAAGGATATGGCAAGGATATGTTGAGTAAACGTCAAGAATATAGACAATAAAAGGATATGGCAAGTATGTGTTGGGTATAAGTCAACAATATAGGCTAAAGGATATGGAAAGGATATGTTGGGTATACTTCAACAATATAGGCAATAAAACGATATGGCAAGGATATGTTGGGCATACGTCAACAATATAGGCAATACAAGGATATGACAAGGATATGTTAGGTATACGTCAATAAGATAGGCAATAAAAGGATATGGCAAGGATATGTTGAGTAAACGTCAACAATATAGACAATAAAAGGATATGGCAAGGATATGTTGGGTATACGTCAACAATATAGGCTAAAGGATATGGAAAGGATATGTTGGGTATGCTTCAACAATATAGGCAATAAAAGGATATGGCAAGGATATGTTGGGTATACGTCAACAATATAGGCAATACAAGGATATGACAAGGATGTGTTAGGTATCCGTCAATAAAAGGATATGTCAAGGATATTTTGGGTATACGTCAATAAAAGGATATGTTGGGTATACGTCAACAATACAGGCAATAAAAGGATATGGCAAGGATATGTTGGGTATACGTCAATAAAAGGATATGGCAAGGATATGTTGGGTATACGTCAATTAGACAATAAAAGGATATGGCAAGGATATGTTGGGTATACGTCAATTAGACAATAAAAGGATATGGCAAGGATATGTTTGGTATAGTTATGTCAATTAGATAGCAAACCAATAGCACAAAAAAACACAACAAATATTGACATGATTTAAGTAATAAAAGTACAGGATAAGATAATTATATTCAATTATTATTTCAGTCCAAATTGAATACTTAATTTCTTTTACTCTCAATTATTTAATATACATAAAGCCTTAAAGAACAGAAGATCCACATTTTAAAAGACAAAATAAAAAGACAAGTAAATTTACATGGTCAAATAGCAAAGATACAGGAGTATATTTGGACGTTTTATTTACATCCGAGATTTAATCCAATGTAAAAAAAAAAATAAAAATCAATATGGTCTAGATCATAAATGAATTTATAAAACATAACAAAATATCCACATCTGATAAGATACCCATTAATACAGGTCTTAAAACTCGGAAACATAAACGCTGTTAGCAACTTATATTTCTACTGCTTAAGTGATTCAATAGTATTTATAGAGCATTGTATATCTAACTAAGTAGGAATGTAACTCTTATAAAACCATTTATATGATAAATTCCACTTGTTAAGATAAAAAAAATATGATAGATAAGCCATTAGGAAGAATTGAAAAAGTATTGATGATTCTTCTAATGGCGCTTCTGCTTGTAAAATATTAGTAGAATATGATGATATGAAATAAAATCTTGTAAATGTCGTTGATTTATGTCATAAACTATTATGAGACAACGGAAGTAACATTGTCTACTGTTGTTTTGGAACGTTCCCACAAACATTCCTGTGTGAAACATTATTCGATTTTATTGACACTGTCTGCTTTTCCACCCCCTACTTTTCTAATAATTTTGAGTATGCCCTAAAGTATATAATACATCACACTACGCACATTTTTTTATAGGAGATTATCCGCGTTTGAAATATTATCTAACTTCGACATTTTAATTGTTATTCTTTTTTTAAATTTTCTTTTAACTTTTTTGTTGTTGATTTTACTATTTTCCCTATTACTATGTGTACCAAGTAGTTTAAAAACAAAATATACGGTAGTCTACATACTCTTAATTTATTCTTAAGCAAAATTGCAGACTGATGGTTATCCCAGTTTAAATCATTCACCATTTTTCTAGAATTGGAACGATTTAGAACTTGACATATATACGACATAGGCGCTTGTCTATTACTGTAGACCTTAAAACTCCTCGTCCAGTCAAATCGCTTGCCTTCTAAGTTTCATAACTCCTCGTCCAGTCAAATCGCTTGCCTTCTAAGTTTCATAACTCCTCGTCCAGTCAAATTGCTTGCCTTCTAAGTTTCATAACTCCTCGTCCAGTCAAATCGCTTGCCTTCTAAGTTTCATAACTCCTCGTCCAGTCAAATTGCTTGCCTTCTAAGTTTCATAACTCCTCGTCCAGTCAAATTGCTTGCCTTCTAAGTTTCATAACTCCTCGTCCAGTCAAATCGCTTGCCTTCTAAGTTTCATAACTCCTCGTCCAGTCAAATCGCTTGCCTTCTAAGTTTCATAACTCCTCGTCCAGTCAAATCGCTTGCCTTCTAAGTTTCATAACTCCTCGTCCAGTCAAATTGCTTGCCTTCTAAGTTTCATAACTCCTCGTCCAGTCAAATTGCTTGCCTTCTAAGTTTCATAACTCCTCGTCCAATCAAATTGCTTGCCTTCTAAGTTACATAGTACTGTACATTCTGTTTCCGTGTACTAAGTAACTATGCATGAATGGCAACAAGGGGGAAATTTGTTGTATCGTGATCAAGACATAAGAACAAAATGTGCCATTGGTTAATTTAGAAATTTTTTTGTTCCAAATTAAAGAAAGTGTTGTAAAAAGTAAAATCACAAAAATACTGAACTCCGAGGAAAATTCAAAAAGGAAAGTCCGTGATCAAATGGCAAAATCAAAAGCTCAAACACATCAAACGAGTGGATAACAACTGTCATATTCCTGACTTGGTACAGGCATTTGTAATTAGTTTTCATAATGATTTTTATATGTCCTGCTATTAAAACCCTTGGTTTAAAAATTATTTTTTGAAAACTGAGTTACTATCAGTTAAATAAAGAATAAACAATATGGTTGTTAATACCATAATTACAGTACAACATAACCTTAAATGTGGTAATTCGTCATCCATGCATTTACTTTGTTAAGAAAAATGTACTATGAAACCTTGTGAAGATAAATTCAAGCAACTTGATGATGATGATGGTAAATTTTTTTAACGCTCTTAAGGAATTCGATCCCTTTCATTACGAATATATATATTTAAACAGCGTTAGTTTTACTAAAATTTAAAAAAAAAATACCAAACATGTAATCTTATAATTGATCTATTGATATTTGATTTTGTTAATGCACATCCGCCAGACTATATATGGGCCATATCTATGATCTATATATTTCTAGAACAATTTGTGTTTTTTCTGAATTTATTAACTGAAAGATCTGAATATTACTATTATAAATTAAACAAATATTTTACATCACATATGCTTAAAACACGTAGTCAGCAAAAATAAACCAGACGTAGACCAACCATATTAGATTACTCGAGTGTAAATACGTACTAAATTGGATAGTCAATGGAAAGTAACATTCTACGAAATTAAGTGCTCGAGGCAAAGCCCCTCGGTCCATATTTCATTTTAGTATATGCCTTTCTATTGATAATAGATATAAGAAGATGTGATATGAGTGCCAATGAGACAACTCTCCATCCAAGTCAAAATTTATAAAAGTAACCATTATAGGTCAAAATACAGTCTTCAACACGGAGCCTTGGCTCACACCGAAAAGCAAGCTATAAAGGGCCCCAAAAATAACTAGTGTAAAACCATTCAAACGGGGAAACCAACGGTCTAATCTATATAAAAAACGAGAAATGAGAAACACTTATGAACCACATCAACAAACGACAACTACTGAACATCAGATTCCTGACTTAGGACAGGTGCAAACAATTGCAGAGGGTTTAAACGTTTTAATGGTACCAAACCTTCACCCTTATCTGAAACAATAGTGTAACATCACAACATAGAAAGACACACTATAAAATATCAATTGAAATATACCGTTATATTATGTTTGAAAACAATGATAAGACTAAAAAAACATACGTAGCACTTGAATATTGACAGTAATAACCCCGATCTTACAATCTAAATACAAGGGGACGATTACAGGTGTGCA